TTAGAGCCTGGCAAAGCATCAGAAAGGAGGAAACCCAGTCTTTGGTAATGTCCATGGGTTCCAGACTTCAGGCAGTCATTACCAGTAAAGGATTCTCAACAAAATATTAAAAATTAACATTTTATTTATTATTAGATTCAAATGTCCAATTACTTTTGGTCCCTTGAAAAAGAAGGTATGGCTACTCTTAAGAGCTGTAATTTCTAAACCCTTCCTCCAATTTGGATGTACATACCCTCAAATTAAACCTGAGAGTGTGCACATTCAGCATATATCCATTATAGAACTATAGCGTGAATATGTTTTGGCAAATACCTGACAAAAACTAAAATTGTGCCTGTGTACCAATAATATATATGGACCTACCTGTAAGTACAGGTGCTTCTATGCCAGTCAAATTATCAGTGCTATTGTCTAGTTCTGTTGTCAGTGAGAAATCCAGCATTCTTTCAGGCATGAACCGCTCTCTATCCCCTCACATCCTGTTTACAAGACCGATGGCCGATATGCCCTTTTCCCTTACACAAACAGCCCCCCCCCCCCCCCCCCAGGCAAACGGTCTGGTACATTCCCCTTGTAGTCCATTGACAGCAACGTTCCAGTGAGCGGACCCGGGTGTCTCAGACTGTCTGGTCTGATTCGCCCACTGTACTCCATAGTTACACTGTTGGGCAGGGAGGCTCCCAGTCTGTTCTGCATCCCATGACAGAAGAGTGGGCAGTGTCATAGAACACTACTGATCCACCGCACATACACCCATAGTCCTGCCCACTGAAGACTCTAAATCCCATCGCATGATGAGTTTTGTAGTCTCAGTGAGCAGCGAGGAACACCAACAGGAAGTGATGTTGCCGTTTTTAGGATCCTTTCTCCCAGAACTCGGGGATTAGAAGTTGGGCAAAAATGACATCACCACTTTTTTAAACAGTGAGTTTTGCCCAAGCTTTACATTTATTTTGAAAATGACATTAGCGGCTTTGTTTACCTATGCAAGCATGGCTATTGTACTGATTTTAACCCTATCCAGGAGTCCTTTAAAGAAAAAACAGATTTCTTTTTCCAAAGTTAAACACAGGGTGTACAGTATTATGGTCAATGGAAGGCACACCAGAATCCTAGAATAAGCACAGTTTCTGAAGATCTGGGAACCTTGGATAATACTATACCACCCGGAAATGGGAACTTTGAAGCATGTGTCCAAAAGGGAAGGACCCTATAGTTTGGCTCCTATCCTCTTTAGTGGCTAGTAACTTGCTCCCTGTGCACCTGTGCGTGAGATTAACAGTGCCACCACTGCTTGCACTAGTCCCATCATTTACCTTTATTTCACCCCCTGACTTGTCCCTTCTCCCTTTCTAGCTCTACGCAACATCTTCTCTAACATCACACTAGAGACAATTTTTTGTATGTCAATCTTACTTGATTCAACGTTGTCGTGCCTGAGCATGAAACTGCATAGAAATAACCATACAAGTTCAGATTTGGACAGATAAAGCCTTGGGATTCCTATGGATGTTGCTATATGTTTTACAAATGCCTTTCTTCTTATCGCACAATGCCACTGAGATCTTGTTCTGTTTGTTGTATCTGATATTAAAAGCCAAGTGTATTTTGGAGCATGTTATACGGTACACCCGTATTTAGGGTGTAACATGCTCTATCACCTCCCCTTGCACCTCCTAATCCTCCCTTACTGTGATAGCAGGTGGGTTACCACTTCCCCACACCCTCTGTTACATTCAAAAGCAGTGCAGATGTTTATGGCACCACATGTACAGCAGCATCTTTCATTCACAACAATCTGTGAATAAAGAAACTACAAGTCCTGTTGAGACTCCCTTCAGCTTTCAAAACAGAAAACCTATACAGAGATACAAGCAAGAAAGCTGGAGGACGTGTTTGCAGGAGCCTGACACTGTACCTGTGATCCACTTCCATTGGGAAAGTAGAGAAAGAAAAAAAAAAAGTGTCTCATGAAAGCTTATGAGAAAAGAGGGAGGAAGTACTGGAACAGAGAGTTTGTTAGTGTCCTCTTTTTATCTGTGTATAATCCCATTAATGCGTGCAGTGGTATTTAAACTGATTGACAGGAAAGTTCCTCGGGCCATCAAGATAATAAAAGCACTTTGCAGACTCAGGCAAAATCTATTTGGAATCAGAAAATGACTGATCTACTTGGGCAGAAATTCACTAGCATTCCTAATTCAACAAAACAAAGACTAAAATCCAAGACCCTAAAGATGTAAAACGTTCCCTTGGTAAACACTCACTTTGACTCTGCTTAGAGGCATCGTTCGCCTTTACCGAAAAACTGCCTACTGTAGATAAAACAAACTGTGAAACGTACTGCCTGGAACCCAACTGAAATACTACCAGAAGTTGCATCATCTCATCCTTCCTTGTTGCTAGGATGTTGCTGGGAGACTCCCACCATCACAGGAGCAAGCTGCTGAGCTCAGAGCTACTGAGTCAGAGAAGAGAAAGTGCATGAGGGTGTTTGAATCAGTGAAAGGGCTTGCTCCTGTGATGATGGAGGTTAACAGTATATGTGCTAGGAGTCTCTTAACAACCTAGCAAAAAGGCAGTGTGTAATACTATCTCTGGGAGTTTATCAGTCAGGCTTCAGGAGGTACATAAATGGCCTACACCTATAGCACGGATATTAATCAGTTTTTGTTTTTATCTACAGACACCCCTTACCTGCATAAGCCTTTTTCTGGCAAAGGTGAACTATGCCGTTAAATGCAAATGGTTGACACAATTTTTTTGAAAGTGACAAAGGAGCAGCTAATGGTCTTTGCTGTACAGACCAAAACATACGTACATACATAATATATATATATATATATATATATATATATATATATATATATATATACACACACATACATACATATATATATATATATATATATACACACATATATATATATATATATATATATATATATATATATATACACACACACACACACACATATACATACATATATATACACACATATACACACACACACACACACACACACACACAAGCTTCCAGTGCCTTTCCAGATATAATGCAGCTAAAACAATTGTTTCTGCATAATGAATGTTACAGAAATCTGCACTATGAGGAATAGAAGTCATCCATGCTACGTGGTTTCTCTGACTTCCAGAATAGGAACAAGTAAGCCACAATTAAGTCAGAACTCTTGATTTACATGTGTGTTCCAGTTCAGTGCATTAGAAAGTACTGAAGCCATTGGATTCCCATGACAGCCAGGCAACTAACATTTTCAGGAGCAGAGTCCAGCAAAGGCAGACCACATGTCTGTCAGAGCAGGCTTCATCTAACTGTTCTTCAGCCACCAGTTACAGCAAGAAACTTACTTGCAATCAGCATATTCCAGCCTAAAAGCTAGCTGGCCATAGATGTATGGAAATTTGGACGGTTCAGCAGGGACCAGCCAAATGTCAATACATGTGTAGTTGTTCCTGTTCGACAGAAGAAGTTGATCATTCGATAGATTTCTGAATGGGAATGTTGGAAACCTTGCCAACTTTTGGTTGCAGCTGCTGATCAGTATATTCTGATAGCAGAGAGTTCAGCGGTCAGAACACAATGTCCCGGCAGGGGAAGATTCCTCCTTCCACCTTGTGTGGCCGAAAAAAAAAAAAAAAAAAAAGAATTAACTATGGCCAGCTTTAGAGTTTGTGTACATCAGGTAGCAAGTAAAATGCTGTATAGCTTTACCATGCAATTATCTTGCATTCATACTGCTTTTCGGTTAACATTTCTCTATACTGTACATTCCAATTCAAAATGAAAACCCAGTGTTCAAGGTTTTGAAAGAAATCTTTTTTTCCAAACGTATGTTAAAAGTAAAACATAATTACCTACGTACACAAACTCTTAACCTTTTTTTTTAACCTCACAACTAAGGACATTTCAGCTTACATTACAAACAGACATACCAAGTACAGAGAGCTCTGGCTCTATGTCCAAGGTCCTTACAAGATCACTGATGTGTTTGCACTGTGATATGGTTTAACAATACCGACTTCTCAGTTGCACTACAGTACAATTGTGTTCAAAATTATTTAATTGGACATTAAATTAGCAACAGTTTTCTATTGAACAAGAATGATGAGCCAATGCATGAGATGGGCAGTCAGTCAGTCACACAATATTTGGTGGATTAGCCAAACATTCGATGAGAATGGATATAGAAATGAGACTCTCCCTGCTCCTTTAGGTGTTTGGAGCATTTAAATTCTTTTTCCTGGCATGCTGTACATACCCTGCAGGAGTAAAGATTCTGAGCAGTACCCACAACAGGAGTAAGAAGAGACAGAGAATATCACGGAAAAGAGAAGATAATTAAGAAAACAGTGAAATAGTGAGGATTCCAGTGTAGATCCCAGTATTTTTACAGAATACAGCAGCTTGTTAAATATTTGGAGGATAAATATGTTCAACCAAAAAAAAAAAAAAAAAAAATCTTTGAATCCCATACATCTGAATAAAAATATGAACATGTTTGTAAAACATTTTCTATAAAGAAACCTTAACCCAACATAAAATGGACTGAAACCCAACCAGGATGGACCACTTTGTCACAGGTCATAACAGGTAACCTGGCTACTGCTGCTGCTTGTCATGCATTCCTAAATTAAAATGCATAGAAACATAGAAGAGTGACTGCAAAAACAGACCAAGTGGTTCATCGAGTCCGCCCCATTTTGTTTCTGTTTATTGCACTTAACGCCATGCAAGATTGCATTCAATTTACACTTGTTGTTGCCTCATATGCATATGAAATTCTTCTATATGATTCTCACTGTTCAAAAGAGCACTCCTAATAGCATAATAAATTATTTTTGTACAGTTCAAATACTTTTCCAAATCAACCTTTAAATTACTCCAAGTTAACGAACAAACAGGCTTACTGACTGGCTACATTTCCCTTCCCATCTGCTAATGCACACCTATTCAGACTAAAGGAATGCTAACTTACCTACTAAATGTGGCCTTCTCATTCTTGGTGTCCATGGTGAGTCTGATAGTTTCATGTCCAGCTCCAGTGCTGATGGTTTCAGTCACTATATTAGTTTTTTCTTCCTCCTCACTGTCTGAGCCACCAGAAGAACTGCTATCTGAACCAACAACTGGGGCTTTCCTGGCTACACACACATTCCACACGCAGGGGGACGCAGCACTAACTGAAAAAAGACAAAACAACCATATTATGAATTCAATGTAAACCTTTCCAACAAGTACAATTTGGTCAGGTAAAGATAAACAAAACCCATTGATTTAATGGTTTCCCAAAACAGTTACATTAAAGGCATGCTGTAAATGTTAAAAGCCACATCTGAGTGTATTATCAACCAAACAGTGTAACTGATCACATGTGCAGCAACATTACAACTGCAGATCAAACAGAAGCTAAAATGGTCGCTTTGCTGGCTTTAAGTTAGTTTGGCCTTAAGTTCTTGCTTTAACTTTAGTCTAAGAATAATATTACCAGGTGGCACAGTTCTTAAAGCTTTTAACACCAGGATAGTTCTTAAAGCTTTTACACCAGGATAAGCAGACTTCTCTTAAAGAGAAACTGACATTCTACTGTAAGAAACACCAAGCAAGCAGGCTTTTATTTCAGAAGAGACATGCAATTGTTTTTTCTGCAGTTAAATGCCCCTGCCTGCTTACTGTCTTCTCTGACGCTGTAAACTCACGCTTACAGTGCTGGGATTATGGCCTCCTGCGCAGGAGTGACATCATCTACTGTCAGCCAATGAAGAGGCCTAAAGACCAGCACTCAGAAGAATATACCGGCACAGGATTGTTGGACAGGTGTACATTAAGCCTTTAGTTCTGCTTTAAAAAAAAAAAAAAAAAAAAAGTGACAATTACAGCTGAGTCCAATGAAATGTGAAAATATTCCTATAGCTAACATAAGGATCCTCATACTTATGTTAAGAGTATGTGAACACACTGCAACAAAGGTATAGTTTAATACAGGAAACATTTCATATCACCTATATTGACATACAGCTTTGTGAAAAATAAACGTTTCATTTTTTGTAATGTCTCATTCTGAAATCACATGACTACTCAGCATCCTTTGGCTCACTCTTACTAGCAGTGGGGGCATGTCTGACACAACACACCGAGAAGGTAAGTACATTGTCGTCCCTGACACGTGTGTCTGCATTGCTGTCCCTGAAAGATTAGTCAAAATGCTGGGCGGCCTTCAGTCCTCCCCCACCTTCAATGTTCTCCAGCCCCTCTATCTTCAAGTCCAGGCACCCCCTCTCCACCTCACACACTGCAACACCCTGCAGTGATTCCAGCAGACAGTCTGGCCATCCTGCAGCCTTCCCCACCTCAAATCTCTTGCTGCCAACTCATGTCTTCAGGTCCTGGCAGCTACTGTTCTCCACCTCACTGACTCCATGTCTAAGGCTGGGAATCAGTGATGGTAGTTGTCAGCTACTTGCAGAGTGGGAAACCTTCCTATGTGACTGTGCCCTGACGTGTTCTGTGCTATGCAGGATGGAGAACAATCACAGCCTCTCACTGTTCATTAGAAAAACTGGGAGAAGACCAAGACACGTGGATCTGTTTGTGCCTATTAAGCTGCATCCTGACTGCCCTTTGTGTGTAAGGTGGATCACACACAGGGGAGGAGTATTTTTCCCATCTGTGTGCACTAAACCTAGGATAGGGAATTAACAGGTTGTTGTGTGTGAGGTGGAGAGAGGCTGGCAGAACTTGAAGGTTGATTGGCTGGCTATTAGGAAAATGGAGATCTGCAGGCTGGCCAGCATACTGCCTGGTGTTTCAGGAACGGCAATGCACATTGTCATGTTTGAGTGGACATGGCAGCTCTGAGTACAGGGAGATGCACAGCAATGCGCATAACAGCATAATAAAACAAATATTTCCCATTAAATTATTTGTTAAAATTGTTACCCAGAACTTGCAAATTTACATCCACTTATGCTGCCGGCTCCTGTGGACAGTGTAGTCCCCAGCCAGTATGTTAGGTTGGAGAACTTGTATGTTGTTTAGGAGAACTAAAACAAAAAGAAGCTGCAAACTCAGCAACTACTACTAAACAAAAAAAATAAATAAAAAACAGCGGGTTTAACATCAGTATAAATATCTTTTAACATCTTTATTTTAGCCTTGTGACTCATTTTGCAAATCTCGTGCATTCATTGAAAAGGAATGTCACTTCTTTTTTCTTTTTTTCTTAAATAAGCATCTTTATTCTGGTGTGTTAGCTATGTGTATTGAAGCAGTGTTAAACACAAACAAAAAGAAATTATATTGGTTTACCAATTCTTGTATATGGCGGCTGCATTGTTTTCATTTAGGCGTTATTTTCACCTGGTGATCCTGCCAGTAAGCGTTATTTTTTTCACTTCTTTTAACAGACCAAGCTGTCCAGCAGAGGTTTTAGACAAATCATTTAATGCTATCAGGGCTGCTTACAAAAGGTCAGTTTTTATTCAGTTCAGTGTAGAAACCTTTATCACAAAAAGGAAAAAAAAAAATGTTGCTGCAACTGCTTAAAAAGTGTTACCTGAGAGTTCAGCTTTAATTTGTTAGTTCAGTCCATGAAAATCTGCTAGTGTATCTAACACTACCCATTGTTCAGATTGACAATGTTGCTGTCCAAAGATGTCTCCGTTGCTCCTCCATTCAGAATGGAGACACCCTAAGACAGGAAGCGTGTTACTGGCAGGACCACCAGGTGAAAAAGAGAAGAAAAGACTAAAGAAAACGCATGCAGCCACCTCATTTAAGGACAGTAATCTGCAATATTACATTTTTGTTGTTTGGTTTTATACCGCTTTAGGCCTAATACTGTATATCACATACTGTTATAATATATAACCATCTTATATAAAGAAAGCCTGCTTTCAGAGACTGTATAGGCTGCCCTTACTGATACTGATCTCTTTTAAAAATGCAAGTTGAGGCACAGACCTGAAATGCTATGCAGATCAGAAGTACTGACTTCACTGATCTGCATCTCAAAGTATTGAAGTCAGTCTATTTACATGGAAGCCAGTAATGCTAGCTTTCCTATTTCTTTCAGGAACATTATTATGGATGTCCACTTTGTCTGCTAAGGTGAATTAAGCTTGTCGTTCAAAACATGTTTAAATGCCTTTACAAAAAGCACACTGTGTTGCCCCCTATGGGTATAGCAGCAAAGTGTGTTAAAACCTACCTTCCAAAAAGGGCTCCCTTTCAGTTCAAAGAACGCAAGCCTAAACTGCATTAAAATGAAGTCTTCTTAAAATCTACAGCCTGTGATGGCCCCCCCATGTTACTGTAGAGAAAAAGCAACCTGTGGGACCAGCACACCCTAGTGCCACAAGATGGGAGCGCCGCCATGTTCCTTCTGGATGCACATGTGCACTGTGTACTGTCTCCTGTCACAATCGATTAACTCATCATAGGAGACATGAGAGCGTACACACTGTGCATGTGCCTCCCAAAAGGAAGAGGATAATGATCCCTCCCGTAGCACTAGGGGGGCAGTGGTCCCCAATGGACCCATACAGTAATGGGACAGAGCCATTGCAGGCTGTGGAAGATTTAAGGTGGCTACTGATTAATGCAGTTTGAACTGAAAGTAAGCCCCGGCTGGAAGATAGGTTTGCTTTTTGTTAAATGTGAACTAACGCTTTAACTATGTGTGGAAAAGCATGCCTTTTATCATGCACAATCCACTTCTGAACATAAACATAGCAGACCACCTTGTTTCTAGCAGCAGGTATAAGCAATATCGAAGGAACGAGACCACACTTCATGGAAGTCCCACTGTTAGAGATGGCTGCAGACACAGTCCACGCCCATCGGCCACCCCTTCTGACATGTAAATTCAGTCTGCATATGCAGTAAAGTATGTGTTATACTCACTGTGGAACCTAAAGGGTTAACCCTCTGCATTGTGTAAAAATGCTGTTTGATCCTGACTTCTCTGATCCTGCCCTTCTTCCAGTGCCCCCCTCTTTTCTTCTGATAAGACTAGAGATGCCCAAAACATATCGGCCGAAAATAGCCCTATTGGCATTTTGCTGATAGGAAAAATTTAGCCGATACAGGAAACTGTGTGTACTGCAGATGTGAGGGGGCGTCTGAGAAAGGCAGGAGAGGAGCAGTGTATACAGTGACTGGCTGTCACTATATGTCGGTGCTGGTTTTTAAATGCAATTACTGGCTTCTTTTTTTCTTCACTATAGTTCACAGAATTAGCTGTCACTTTCCCCCCAGCTAAAATAAACAAAGTTTCCTTTTAGTTTCTTTCCCCAAGTTAAAAGAAACAAATATTTCCTTTTAGTTTCTTTCCTGAGATAAAAGAAACAAAGTTTCCTTTAGCTCCAGGAAAGTGATAGCTAATTATGTGAGTTATAGTGAAGAAAAAAAAAAAAAAAAAGCTAGCAATTGCATTTAAAAATCAGCACCGACATATAGTGACAGCCAGTGAGGGAGCTTTTCTGCATACACTGCTCCCTCACTGTATACACTGCTCCTCTCCTGCCCCCCCCACCCCCTTCCCCCTACAAAGAGGACCTGTCACTCATATGCTATCACATAGGGGACTATTGGTCCCCTATGTGATAGCAATAAAATCATAAGTTTAAAATAAAAAAAAAAAAAAATACATGAAAATAGGAAAAAAAAAAAAAAAAAAAAAAAAAAAAACCCACAAAAATTAGCCTCCCCACCCCCACGTATGCAGACATTTCGGTTCGGCTTTTGTTCACATGCATTCTGAATTCGGTATCTGTTTCGGCACCAGAATTTTCATTTTGGTGCACCACTAGATAAGTTACTAGACATGGAAAAGGCTTGTCACCTGGACAGCGGTTCTTGATAGCCACTCCGGAACAAGTTAGTCTCCCATTAGGTTTCATATGTAAAGTAATGGCTCTGTACTCGCCCTCTACCACCAGACCTGTTATGCTACTCAAGGGTGCCCCCTTTCCTCCTCTTTGTACAAAACCTATCTGCTATCTCTGCAAAAGCATTGCACAGAGCAGGTAAGCATGACATCTGTTAAAAAAAAAAAAAAATCTGCTTTTACAATCACTAAGTACCTGAGGATCCATCTATCCTCATCTGAGGAAAAGTTATGCAAGCTGAATTACTTACTTTTATTGAACTCCACTTCCCAAAAATTGCAGTTCTGGTCTTC